TCCATCTCGCCACTGCCACGTCCACCTGATATTTACATGAGTTCCTGGAAGTCCAACTCTGGTCCTCACATGGCAAGTGCTTTAGCCGCTGAGCAGCCACTGAGCCATCTCCCCGGCCTGGAAATTGAGTCTTCCTATTCAGTATTCAGACTAAACCCTCAGCTTGCCTGGCGAGCGCTTTAACCACTGTGCCATCCACCCTCCCTCTGGCCTGGTCTCCCCAGCCATGTTGGCAGGATGTAGGTGGGAGTTCCCGGGTTCTATAAATCCACATCCACAATGTCTGGGCTCCCCATTCTGAGCTTCTTTGGGGTTCTAAGGGTGCAGAGGTTTCTTTCTGAGTGTGCCCCCTCTGCAATCCTGAGGAGCCTCGCTGTCCATGGCAGCCACTGCTCCCTGTCAGCTTCTCACTTCCAGGATTTTGTAGCAATCTCTCAGCCGTTCATGTTTTCTCACTAGTCTGATTTTGAGGGTTTATGCCGTTGGATTTCTTGACTGGCATTTTAATGGTCCTTCAGATGAGAGGGAAGAGCAGGCGGTATGTTAACTGGTAATGTTAACATGTTAACTGGTATGTTAACTGAAAGCCCTGTTGCATTTTGGATGGATACATCTAAACTGGACATCATCTCCCCTGTCCTTAAGTTATACAGTGGCCACACTGAGCCTTTTGTTGATAATCCAGTAGCTTTTATGAATACACATGTTCACTTTGGACTTATTAAGCTAAATACAGCTGGTTGTCCCTCCATGATAGAGGCCCCATCACTGTGCTAGAATAATAATAATAATTACTGTTATTGTATGTCCGTGTGTGCACAATGTGGGTGACACATGTGCCACAGCATACATGTGGAGATCAAAGGACAAATGTGTGGTGTTGTCTCTCCCCTCCCACCTTTACATGGGCTCCAGGGATCAAACTCAGGTCACCAGGCTTGCATAGCAAGTGTTTTACCAGCTCATCAGCCCTGCGCTGGAATTGCTGCTCATCATGGCTTTTCTGTCTGCGTCTTCTCGTCCCGTGTACTTATGATGAGGATGCCACAGGAAGGAGAGACGCGGGGAGTACCGCTTACTAATTACTAAAATAGCCAAGTCCGGCGCCTGTGCTGAGCGCTCTTTGGTTGCCGCACCCACCCAGGCCTGCTCCAGTTGCTTCTCTGGAAGCACACCTTCCAAAATCTGGCCTGGGAAACCTCAACCAGGCTCCGTGCCCTTATGCTCAGTTGGACTTGCTGATTTACGACCCCAGCTGGGGGTCGAGAGGAGGAGGTGTGTGATACTGGGGTGCCCTGTCTCTTAGCTCCCTCCTTTGCTAGGCCTTGGTCAGCAGAGCAGAGCCTGTGTTGTTCACTCTCAAACTGGAGCACCAGGCAGAAGCCCTCTCCTGCAGCTCTGGGCTTCCAGCAACCTGTCCTAGGGAATGTGGGGTTTGTGGTCCCAGCTCCCTGCTGTGCTGCTCTGCTTCTTCACCTCCCCTTGGGTCCCTCTCAACCCTGCTCACCCACTTGTAAACAGACCCTTCCTTAAACTCTCCTCTTCTGTGGACGTGGGGTGGAGAAAGGGTGCGTCTGTTTTCTGCTGAGACTCTGACCTGTCCAGAAACCTTTTCTGATTTGCATCTAATAAAAGAATAAATAGTTCCCTCACTGGGTCTCAAGAGCCTGAGACAGGTCCTGGCTATGAGCTTTGTAAGACACCCAGGCCACACGGGGGTTGCTGGGGCTGCTACTGCTGCTGTTGTTGATACCCTTGCTTTTAACTGCACTGCAGATGATGGAGGGGACCAGGTTAGTGGCTTCTCTCTACAGTTTGGAGAAGGAAAATAAGCGTGTAAATAAAGAGAAACCAGGAGAGAGGCTCAGTGATGACCTTCAGAAGTTACACAGCAGGTTGGAAATTTACCAACAGTTTGGGGAGAGGATTCAGTAACTTCCTGGAGAGCAGGTCTTGCTGGGTCTGGAAGGTAAAAGTTGGATGTTTGGGGGACCTCCAGGCCATGTCCTGTGGGATTCCCCGAGGCCTCTCATAAGGAATCCTGAGGTGAACCCTCATCGCTTGTGTGATACTGATACTCTAAAGAGGGTCATGTGCTTGACGGTCACTGTCATTAAGGACATGCTGGAACCCAGGAAGGCCTCCTCACATCCGAGAAGCAGCCCAGAGCCGGCTCTGCTGGCCCTCCACTAAGTCCACCTTGTGTCACTTCCCTGCCTAGACACTCCCTAGATTCTTTTGCCACCTTGCTTGAATGGCCCCTTAGCCTGCCCTAATTTGTATAATGTCTTCTTTAATTTGTATAATTCTTTGAATCATATATATCTTCAGAAAAAGAAAATCAGGAACTCCTTCTGACCCAGTTTCTTTTTTCTTTTTTTTTAATGTTTTATTTATTATTTTTATTTTATGTGTATGAGTGTTATGCCTGCGTGTAGGTAAGTGCTCACATGTCGTGCAGTGAATGCCTTCGGAGGACAGAAGAGGCTGTCAGGTCCCCTGGAATTGGAGTTACCGACAGTTGACAGTTGTTAGCTGTCATGTGGGTGCTGGGATTCGAACCCGGGTCTTCTGCCAGAACAGTTTTCTTAACCGCTGAGCCATCTTTCCAGCCCCTGACCCAGTTTCTAAAGCACAAAAAAAGCATCATAAGTGCTTCTTTAAAAAGGATTTTTTATTAGATAGTGTGTGTGTGTGTGTGTGTGTGTGTGTGTGTGTGTGTGTGTGTGTTCCTGTGGCTCAATCATGCCATGGAGAGCCTTTGGAGGTCAAAGGACAACCTGTAGGAATCAGCCCTCTCCTTCCACCATGAGGATCCCTGGGATTGAATTCAGGTTCTCAGACTTGACGGCAGGCACCTTTGCCCACACAGCCATCTTTCCAGCCCCTATAACAGCCTCTTAAGGACAACAACAGGAGAGCTGTGCCTGGCTATGGCCATTTTGCTTTCTAGTACAAGCCATGACCTTGGGCTAGGGTGGCCTATGCCCTGTGGGGACTGGGGAACAGAGCTGAATCATGGCCAGGACAGTGGTAGGAGTTGGACTGACCAGTGCTACTTCAGGCTTTTCACACTGTTGTGTTTTACAAGCCATGAAGTATGTGGAGTCTCAAGTAAAACGAGTTTTTCAAAGTCTTCTGAAATCTGCCCTCAGTGGTGGCTACCACGGCAGTGGGCTTAAACCCCAAATGGTAACACAGGAAGTGGCACCCATGTGGACAAGCCCTACTACAAACAAAGGAAAGATCAAAGATGCTCATCAACAAATTATGCTCTTACATCATCAGAACAAAGGAGGGCCTCCTTACATAAAGCAGAGGCATTGAGATGGTCGGTCTGTAAGGGCACTCACTGCCAAGCCTGATGGTCTATTCCTGGGACCCACATGGTGGAAGGAGAGAGGCAGCTCCTGCAAATTGTCCTCTGACCTCCTCATGTGTACCAAGACAAGTGCATGCACACAAACACACACTAATAATAAATAAACATAATTTTTTAAGAACTGTAAATGACAGGTCTAGTGATATGGCTCAGCTGTTAAGAGCACTTGCTGTTCTTCCAGAGGACCTGAGTTCAGTTCCTAGCACCCATATCAGGTGGTTCACAGCCACCTGAAATTCCAGTGCTCACTTCTGGCCTCAAAGGGCAACCGTACATGCATGCGTGCACATACACATAAATAAAAATAGAATAACTCTTTTAAAAGAATTTAGCTGGGTGTGGTGGCTCACGCCTTTAATCCTAGCACCCGAGAGGCAGACACAGGCAGATCTCTTTAAGTTCAAGGTCAGCCTGGTGTACATAGTGAGTACCAGGCCAGTCAGGGCTACCTGGTGAGACCCTATCTAAAAACATATTTTTCAGTGAAGCTAACGGTTTACCAAGACGGTTAAGAAGCTGAAAGATGAAGTTATTGTATGGTGAATTTTATGTATATGACTACTGATTTCTGTTATAAAATGCCTTAGAACTTAAAAAAAAAAAGGTGACAACAGGAAGTGGGTAGCATGAGCGTCACTCTGGCTGGCAAGGTTTGTGGTACTTTACAGACAGGAGGTAAGTGGGGAACCGAGGCCCAGCCAGACAGCAAAGGCAGAGCGTCAGGGCTGTCTTCCCTCTGCCCCAGCCCTTAGAGTTCAGGACCCTCAGCCCTACTGGGCAGATGGAGTAGAGAGAGCGTGTTTCCCGCCTCACAGGGAGGAGACCGGAGCCAGGGAGGTGGGTGGTGCAGCCTAGGTGGAGAGACCCTTTCCGCGCCTCCTACGGCGCCATGCTTTTTTCACTTCTAGGAAGGTTTATTTAAATCAGCTGCTTTTAGTGACATGACTTCTAGCTGTTTAATTTATCCTCCTGCGTCCCACGCCACTCTGAGTCCTTTGGCCAAGTGCATCCATCCAAGAACCTCCAGCATCCCTGTTTAGCAAGGGCCGGGAGGCTCCAGGCCCCTTCTTGTTCACTCTGCAAACTCAACTCGTCAAACTCTTCAAGGCAGATCAGGCACACTGCTCCAAGACCCAGCCTACAGTTAGTCCTCATTGCAGAGATCCCTGGACTTGCGGACACCAGCTCAGCGGCTCTGCGTAGCCCCGCCCACAGGACAGTCATGGTTCATAGTTTGGAGAGGGCAGATGGGGCCCAGATGGGCAGAATACTCGTGTGTGAGCCAGTATCTTTTCTCATCCTGTCTGAGTTGCCTGTAGTTTGACCAGAATATGGGCGAAGTCTGCCACCACTAGGGTACCACCATCGACTTCCTAGAACGTTAGGGAAGTTTTCGGCGGTGCTCTTAGAATCAAGCCTGATCTGGTCCTCAGCGAGATGTTGCAAGTTCCTTATGTGGACACAGAGGCCAGGGGTGTGGGTGTGGTCTAGAAGTCATAGCTGGCTGTTTGTTACCCATAAATCCAGACACCTTGAGTCAGCCCTCCTCCCTGCTCAGCTGAGGTTGTCAGAGCCTCAGCAGTGTCTCTTCCCTAGGTAGCAGCCCCCCACCCCAGCTGCCTCCTCTCTATAAGTGGCTTAATAACAGCTGTGAGGCATGATCCATTCCCCTGGGCTAGGGCGTGTGGGGCCCACCTTGTTCCCATTACACGTCATTTCACCCTGATGCAACCCACTTTCAACAGACACTGCCAAAGAAGAAACATTACAACAGTGTTCTGCACCACCTTCTCTGACTGTGTGGGAGACCTCACTCAGGAGAGATGACATCTCCATCCCAGTGACCCACTGTGCTGCACTGCAAGTGGCTAACTTGAGGCTTTTTTTTTTAAATTTATTCATTCATTTAGTGTGTGTGTGTGTGTGTGTGTGTGTGTGTGTGTGTGTATTCATGCCTGAATTCGTTTATGTGCACCACACACATGCACGTAAGTGCCTGAGGCTACAAGAGGGCACTGGATCCCCTAGAATTGACGTTAACAGGCAGTTGTGAGCTGCCCAGGGTGGGTGCTGGGAATCAAACCCAGGTCCTCTACAAGAGCAGCAGGTGCTCTTAATCGCTGAGCCATCTCTCCAGCCCCCAACTAAGGCCTTGGGAGAAACCTGCTTCTTCAGTGGATTTCTCTGCCTCCTGCACACAACAGCCATCTGGGATACTGGAAATTCCTGATACCTAGACCACACTCTGACTTCAGAGATTCTTACTAAATGTATGTGAATTTCAAAAATATTTTTAAATAATTTTATTAAAGGATAACATACATGTAAACAAACCAAGAACAACAACAAAAATACCGTAAGTATAAAGCTCATCTCATTCCCACAAAGTTAACATAGCCCAAGGAACCAGAATCTTGATGGAATAACATCAGCAGCATTTCTGGTACCCACACCCAGCCACGACTTGGCTCCAGAGGCTCTGTTAGATGGGCTTTGCCTGCTTGTAAACTTTATATCAATGAGAACATAGCTGGATGCAGTGGCCCATGCCTATGAAGTCCCCATGCTTGGGAGGTAGGAGCTGGAGGATCTCCTTGCAAGGTCTTTGTGATGGTTAGTAGGTTAGTGCTGATTGTCAGCTTGACAAGATCTGAAATCACCTATGAGGTAAGCCTCCAGGCACATCTATGAGGGATCATTTAGATTTGGTTAGCCTCTGGGCATGCCTGTGAGGCATTAGCCTGATTAATTGAAGTGGAAAGACCTACTCAGGCCACATCCGGACAGCATAGAAAGGAGGAAGGATCGGGTGCTAGAGCTGGTCATCACTCAGCTTCCTGACTGCTGATTTAATGTGACCAGCTGCTTCCTGCTCCTGGGTTGCACCTTCCCTGCAGGAAGACTTGGATTCCCTGCTTTGATGGACGGACTGTACCCTGGAAATGTGAACCAAAATAAACCTTTTTCCGTTAGATTGCTTTTGTCAGGGTGTTTTATCACAGTAACAGGAGGAGTACCGAAGACAGCCATCCTCTACTACATAGTGGGTTTGAACATGAGACAATGCAAACACATAAGTAAATGAACAAACAGTCATTCAGCATATATCCTTTTGTCTCTTGCTTCTTCTACAGGGTCATGTTTGTGAATGCTTCATCCAAGCCATTGCCTAAAGTTGTAGTTTGTTCACTCTTTTTTAAAAAAATATTTTATTTTTTAAATTGTATATGTATGAGTATATTACCTGCATGTATGTAACTGCACCCATGTTGTACAGTGCCCGAGAAGATCAGACTTTGGATCTCTTGGAACTGGAGTCACAGACAGTTGTTAGCCACCATGTGGGTGCTGGGAACTGAACCCAGGTCCTCTGCAAGAGCAGCCAGTGCTCTTAACCTCTGAGCCGTCTCCCCAGCCCCGGTTTGTTTACTCTTAAGCCACAGTGTATTGTACTGTACAGAAAGCCCTTGACTTACCTATTCATTCCATATAGTTGGATTGTTGTCTCCAGCTGGGGGTGGTTATGGTGAGAATGCAGTGGGCATCCTAGTGCGGTCTTTGGGAGTAACTGTGTAGGTTTCTATCCAGTATATACTTAAAAGTGGAATTGCTCGGCACATGCTTCTGAGTATTGGTACCTAATACCCCGATAATCTTCCAAAGTGCATTTCCAGCTTACTGTCCCTCTGGCCATGCGTGAGGAGAATTCTGATTGCTTCGTGTCTTTGCCAATAATTGTTATTTTCTATTTTTTGTTATTTGCCTGGTCTAGTGGGCGTGCCATGGTATCATAATCACAATGTGGTTTTAATTTGCATTTCCCTGGTGACTAATACAGTTGAGTGCCTTTTTATGTGTTTATTAACCATTTAGATCTCTCTGGAAGTATCTGTTAAAGTATTAAGATATGAGCATTTTTCTTTTCTCTTTTCTGCCTTCCTTCCCTCCTTTCTTTGGCACTGTCTTTTGTAGCCCTATATAGTCTCACACAGCTGGGTTCTCTAGCTCACTATGTAGCCAAAGATGACCCAGAACTTCTGATCCTCCTGCCTCTCCTTTCCAAGTGTTGGCCCAGGGGTGAGCCACCACACCCAGCCTTTTGCAGTGCTGGGAATCAAACCCAGGGCTTTTTATATGCACAGTAAGTACTTTACCAGCTGAGCTATAGCCCTAGCCCTCAATATGAGCATTTTTCGAAAAGTCCTTAGATAACTGTAATGTGCAGCCCGGTTGAAAACCACTAAACTAGACCAGAAAAGCATATCACTTGCTTAACTCTTCCAATTTCCTAGCCTCCTCCCTGGGTTGGAGGGGATCTCATTGTCTTGAAAGGTAATCTTCACTCCCCACTAAAATGCTCCTCCCAGAAAGAAGCAAGAGATTGGAGCTGATAGTCAAGAATCTTTTGGAATGCAGCCTCCACTTCAGAGGGGAGGGCTCTGCGGCATCTACAGCTGCCACAAACATTTCCTGGCCACAAAAATGGCCCCTTACTGGTCCCCATGGAGCCTCGGGCAATCATGGGGAGGAAGTGGAGGGCCCCATGCCAGGTACTTCCCAGTTTCTAGGCTTGCATTAGCAGGTCCCAGCTCTTGTGGGGGTTGTGGTCAGGCTAGGGACAGTGGACCATGTGTTCTAAGCACTGAAGGAGGCCTGCTGCCTGTGGCCTTTGTGCTGCATGGGGCTCTCCCACGTGGGTCCCAGTCATTTCCTTCATCTGGAATGACTGCCATCCTTTGCTCTGAACTACACTCCCCCAGGAGCCCTGTTCCAGGGCCTTCCCACCCTACCCCTTTGACCCCCAGGTCTCTGAGTTCTGCAGCACTTCAGTAAGGACACTCAGTGTGACTTCTGATGGTGTACTGGCTTAATTGGGTCCCCACCATCACTGGCTCTCACCTCATGGCCTCTGGACTACAACCTCATTCCAGGGACTCCAGGGCACTTTCCTGTTCCCAGTGGCAACTCAGTGACAGCACTTCCAACATAAGAAGGAAGACATAATCTACACATAGACAAGAGCTAGGCAGGGTCAAGCCTGTTGCCCTGTATGGGCTCCATGGTAGCACTGTGCCACATGGGTTGGTTGGGAGCTCTTAGGATGAGTCAGGAGTTGATCCACCAGGACGGGGATGGTATACTGGTGCCCATACTGGGTGTGCACAAAGACCCCTCGAGCATAGAGCAGTGGGCTCCAATATACCACTGGAGTTCACCACAATGCCAAGAACTCTGTGTCTGTTCCATGTGCTCTTGGAAAAGAATAGTGGCTGTCTCCACTTCCCTGAAGTCCTGCCAGCTATATGCCATTAAATAAGGGGCAAAGAGGCATATGGGCAAATTGCCATGTTAGAGGCTGGCGCACAGAACTACTCTGGACTCTGGGTCATGACATGTTCCACAGATGTAGGCCCATCTTGGAAACTGCTCTAGAAATACAGCACTTCCTATCTGATCATCCAAATGTTGGGGATCTCTTGATTGACCTTAATGGTAGCCTGCACTAGCCAGTGGCCAGAGTGCTGCCTGAACCCAGAATGACAGGAGCCCACCTCAAACAGTGTGGGAAACTTAGTTACTTTACCTCCTGTCAGCAACTGGTATATATAAGAATGTAACGTTAGAATCCAGCCTCTGGCTGGCTGTGTTGGTGCACGCCTTTAATTCTAGCAGTTGGGAGGCAAGAACAGGCAGATTTCTGTGATTTCAAGGCCAGCCTGGTCAACATAGGGAGCTCCAGGCCAGCACCCACATGGTACAAAACAACCATCTGTAACTCTAGTTCTGGGGCATCCAGTGCCCTCTTCTGAACTCCTCAGGCATTGCACAACATGGGTACACTTACATACAGGCAGGTGACACACTTATATACATAAGAGAAAAATAATAAATAAATTTTTTTTATGTGTATGAGTGTATTGCTTGCATGTAATGAGTGCGCCCATGTCGTGCAATGCCAATGGAGGTCAGAAGAGGGTTTTGGATTCCCCTGGAACTGGAGTTAAGGACAGTTTGTAGCTGCCATGTGGGTGCTGGGAATCGAACCCAGGTTCTCTGCAAGAGCAGTCAGTGCCCTTAACTGCTGAGCCATCTCTCCAGCCCCTAATGAGGTATTTTTAGGTTAAATATAAGATTCTGTCCGTAACCTAAACTGACTGGACAGTCTGCTCCCCACCCCTTCCCTACCTCCTGCCTGAGAATTAGCACCTGACTGGAGGCTCTTGCTGTGAACCCCCACCACATGCCCTCCTCAAAAAGGTCTAAAAAAAGATTCCCTCCTCTGCCACATGGACTCTGATTCTCTTCAGAGACACCATCATTCTGTCCGTCTCCAGTACTAGGAGCCCGAACTCTCCTCAGAGTATCCACCATTCTGTTGCCCCTCTGGCTGGCCAGCCATGGCATCAATAACTTGTCTAATAAACTCCTTAGTCCCTGGTAATTACTTCAGTGTCCTCTTGAGCTCCTACCCCCTCCAAAGCCTAACAGCATGGCCTGTCTTCACCACGTCAGTCTCATATGCACGGTTCCCTTCCACTGAGCATCTTGGCTCTCCCTTCCCCACCAGCGGTCAAGCCCTTGCCCCCTCTCAGCCCAGGTCTACAAGTACTTTTCCATACTTCTTTTCCATTGGCTCCAGAGTGCCTTTTGTGCACTCTGTCTCCATGTGTATATGTTATAGAAATTTTAGAAAATCTTAGTCAGGGGGTGGAGAGTTAAAATCATTCTCAATCACTAACTAGAGACAGCCACTGTTAAAACTTCAGTATCAGGGGCTGGAGAGATGGCTCAGCAGTTAAGAACACTGACTGTTCTTGCAGAAGACCTGGGGTCGAATCCCAGCCACGCACATGGCAGCTAACAACTGTCCTTAACTCCAGTTCTGGGGGGATCCGACAGCCTCTTCTGTCCTCCTCGGGCATTGCACTAAATGGGTGCACTTACACACATGCAAACAACGCACGCATACACATAAAATAAAAATAATAAATAAAATATTGAAAAAAAAAACTTTAGTATCTTTCTGTTCTCTCCACGTGTATCCCTCAAAAAAACAAGTGATGTGTATGCATGAATGTGCTCAGAGCCTCCTTGAATCTACGGGAAGAATCTCCTTCCCTGTCTCCCAGCTGTCCACACTGGTGCTGCCTCTCCACTTGGAGTCCCCCAGAGCCAGTCTGCCACTATTCTAGATGCCAGTCAACCCCTTGAGAGATTTCTCCTGGATGATTTCACTCTCCTCTCCCGCCTGGGTTGCTCTTCTCTGAAAATGCGCATTTCTTTAACATGTCTAAAAAGAGTAGGCCAGCAACACGGGAAGGGGCAGAGAGAGAAGCAGCTCTCACACCCTCAGAGATGCTCAGCGTTGGCTCTCTGGAGTCCCCATGTTGGTCCAGCCCATGCTAGTCTCAGTTTCCTCCAGCCTCTGCGTTGAACACTTGATTCTTAGACATGGCGCTGGGCCTCACAGTATCTCTGTTGAGTCTAGCCTTTAGATCCTATGTCTCCAGCCTGTCAGAAGACTCTGACCTCCCTCCCCAAAGAGTAGGTCAGCCTCTGGATCAAAGAAAGGATGGGTCCTTGGAGTCCCTGAGACTTGCTGGGCCCTGAGGCGTTGCAGGTGCCTCCTCTGTCCTTCCTATGAGAAGTGTGTTTCCTCCTAGCCTAAGGCACCCCTCTGCACTGCAGGGAGTCAGCTGCAATGAGCGTCAGCCAGAACTCCGGGTCCCTCCACCACCAGGCTCTATGGAGCCTGGGGACTGTTACACCTTCACAGCCATGGGCTTGGCCCCAGAGCCACAATGGCAGTTGTCACACCTCATGAGGGTAGTACCCCTCAGCCCAACTACAGCCTCCTTCCTCTGCTTGGCCACCTGGTCCAGGATCCAAAGTATCACCAACTTTATTGTTAAAGGTAAAACAAGAGGTCACAGCCACCCAGATGGCTGAAGTGTGCCCACCCATGAGAGATAGAGCCTTCGTTTGCCTCCACGTCCAGCCGCAAACAGGGCCGGACATGTTCTTTCTTGGTTGTGAGGCCTCCAGAGAAGGGTTTATTTAACCTTGCAGCAGGAGCTTTACAGTCTGGTCCTAAAAAGATTATCTTTTTATTGCAGCTCTGATTAATGATTGATCAAAAACTGATACTGGAAACACTGAAAAACAAATTTGCCTTAGAGATTAGGAAAGCTTACATCTGCCAGGCTGATTGGGGATCTGTTCACCTGCTCCCTCCAAGAACCAACCAGGGCAGGGGTGTATGGGAAAACCCGCCCCATATGTTCTTGCACACAGAGGGGGAAAGTAGATTTAAAGTGTCTTCAAACCAGTGTAGAATTACGCTACAAATTTCAAGTAAATGGCAGTGAGCAGAAGAAAAGGGCGCACCGGCTTCTAACAGGAATTTTTGGTCTTGTTTTTTATCTTATTAATACTGGTTGCAATTTAACAGCCAGTACTGATAAGGGAAACTGGAGTAGGAAGAAGAGAGAGGCTTCCTAGAAACCCTAAAAACTGTCATCTGAGTTGTATGTAACACCAGGCATCGGGGACAGGGGATGCTAAACACTGGTCCTAGGAAGCCTTGGAGCCCTCTCAGTCTCTGCCGGTGTCCTCCAACTGTTGTCTCTGAGCCTGGGATTGCCATAGTGGAGTCCGTGGGTCAATTCAGAATTACCGAAAAGCCTCAACCCTGACCTCAGAGACTAGGGAGCCAGGGTGCCAGGGAGCTGCATCTTCCCAGCACCCACACTCGAGGCTCTGCCAGAGCCTGCCCTCCAGCAGCGCCAGGGAGCAGGGTGCTGGCTGGACAGCTTCCCGCTGTGCAGTTCCTCTGGAGCCCTGGGGACCAGGGCAAGTGGAAAGCTGGTAGAGCTGCTTCTAAATTAAAATTGGAAAATGAAACTGGAAATCACAAGCTCACACCCGCTCGGAGGTACCAGCGTTTTCTTTTCCATAGGGAGAGTCCCCAAGGGAAAAAGAGGAATGTTCAACGAGGCCAAGGGGGGCTGGCACATGGCACATGTTCATGTGCAGACTTTCCAGCAGTGCCTGAGGAGGAGCCTGCCTCTGACTTAACTTAATCTGTGCCTCTTATAAGGCCTGCCTGGACTCCCCCCATGAGGGAGGGGGCGCTTGCTCACACAGTTTAACTGACGGTCAAAGATCAGAAACCTTGGGCTCTTTTCTCCTCTAACCCCACCCCTACAGATACACAGGCTCAAGTGTACACACACACACACACACACACACACACACACACACAGAGGCACAAACATTACCAGCAACTGCCAGCAAATTTTCCCCTCTGGGGCATCCTGGCCTGGCCCAGCAGAACAGTTTTCATATAGGCAGGAGGTTCCCCAAAGGGATTAGAATACAGGAGAGAATTCAGTGGGGGCCACAAGCTGTCCCTACCTGCTGACTCCTGTCCCTTGTCTCACCTGAAATGTTTTCTCTTCAAGGAACACTGTCCTAATCTCCCCAATCCTAAACACCCCTTAGATTATGACCCCTGAAATTGCACCTCTCCTAATCTTGTATTTGTCAGATTATCTGTGTGGTAATTTACCTAATGTCTGCCTCCTTCGTGGAACTGAACTTCTGTGACGCTCAGACCTGGTTGTTCACTTTATGTCTCCAGGGTCTAGAATAGTACCGGGCGTTCAGCAGGTACACACACCCAAATATGTCTCTGGTGAGTGTGCAGGCCTGAAGAGCCCCAGAGAAGGATGACGCTGCATCAAGAGGTCTGCCTAGGGAGCTCGGGTGTCCACATCTCTTCCAGGTCCCCCAGGTATGTTCAAGTGAGACTGGAGGGGACACCCCCCCCACTTCTGTTGTTCACAGTTCCTAGCCCCAGCCCAGGGAATGCTTGGACCAAATGTACAGGACTTTAGATTTAGTGGGGAGAGGTGGCGACAGCAGCAGGCCTCCTGTGGCACACCCTCCATAACTCCTCTCTGCCCCTCATCTGTGCAGGTGGCTTCATATGCCCCCTTCCATATACACAGGGACATTTTAATAGAGAGCCATCAAGGAAAGAAAGGCCTTTTACCCTGAGGATTAGAAGAGGAGCTGGGTTTGGGGCATAACTTATTTTTATAATTTTTATTACTCTGTGTGTATATGTGTGTACATGTATGTGTGCATGTGTGTACATGTATGTGTGCATGTGTGTATGTGTGTGCACACATGTGCATGTGTACATGTATGCGTGTGTGTGTGTGTGTGTGTGTGTGTGTGAGACAGCACATGTGTGGAGGTCAGAAGACAACTTGGGGAAGTCAGTTCTCTCCTTCCACCATGTGGGCCCTGGGGATTAAACTCAAGTTGCCAGGGTTGGTGGCTGGTACCTTTACCAGTTCACTGGTCCAGTGACTGACTTTTCTGTCTGATTTGCTTTGCTTTGCTTTTTTTAAGACAGGGCCTCTCTGTAGCCCCAGTTGGACCAGAACTCTCTATGTAGACCAGGCTGGACTCAATCTCATAGAGATCCACCTGCCTCTGCCTCTAGAGTGCTGGGATTTAAGGTGTACACCAGTACACCAGGCTCAATGATTATCTTTTAAAGGGGAGATGAAGGATACTGGCAGATAGTTCTCTGGGAACCGTGGACTGAATGCAACCCTGACTTCAGGCCCTTGCTCCCTGTCCTCAGGGTCTTGTGTATACCCAGTGAAAAGCCTCCTAACAGATTCATAGGGAAGCTAGAGAGTTGAGCAACAGAACAAAACCCCAGCTCTGTGATTTGTGGGTAGCAGCTGGATCTCTCTTGGCCTTGTTTTCTCCTTCTGTAAAACAGGAGCAGTTACTGTGACTTCTGGGGGTGGGTGGTGAATCCAGGTTCCAGACACATGTGAGGGACCAGTTGTCAGTAGCTGTCATTACCCGTTAGCCAGAGCAGTAAGGGCCAAGGCGATGCTGAATACAAGCAAAGCTCCCAGACCCAGAGCCAAACAAATGTGAGGGACTTGTGGCGCCTGTTTGGAACTACTGTAGCTCAAGTTCCCTCCCTCATTTGTCCACGGTGGGACAGTGGCTTCATTTATTAGTGTTAAGTTACAAGATGCACAAGAGGGAGGCGACAAACCAAAACCGCCAACCGTTTGAGCTGTACGCTGCACTGGGGTGATGTGGCCAGTACAGATGGTGAGGGCCCTGCAGGCCAGGCCCACTTCCTCCTGCCTGCATCCTCTTCACACCAGCAGGCTTCCCAAGGCTGCAGGAAGTGGGGCCAGGAGCAGGCTCTCGGGTGTCAGGGCAGGCCAGGCAGGAATAGCAATTGGCCTAGTGAGGATGGCAGTCTTCGAAGTCTTTGAGGGGCCGGATGCCAGGGTGGAGGTGCAATAGCCCCTGCCTTCTCTGAACGCAGGCAGGCAAGTCTGCATCAGGCCTTTCTCTCCTGAGACGGGAGGCATGGAACAGACGGCATCCAGGGAGAGGCAGGCAGGAAAGGAGGAGAGCCCGGGCTTTTCTCAAAGGAAATGTGCTTGTGGTTTTGAGATGTTCATATTTCACAGCTGTGGTTGGCGTTTCTCAGGGTTCTCAGAGGTGAATGCAGGGTCAGCCCCACATCGCCAAATAAGGCTCACAGTGACCCTAGCAACAGGCTCCACTACCCATTGGCTCCCACTGCCGCTGCCTGCCAGGCACAGAGGCCCAGCGCCTGTCGGAAGTCACCGCCCTTGGGAGCACCACCGACAGAGAGAGTGCTCTGGACAAAGGTGGACAGGCGGGGGCGGGGCAGGACTGCCTGGGTGTCAGCGTTGCAGAGTCCCCCTGAGTCCCCACGTGACGCCTGACCAACCCCTCTGTGCGGCGCCCTGGGCCCAGCTTGCCACGACAAGCCCTGCAGCCTCTGCCTGAGCGTCCAACCTTGAACTCCACAAGTTATCTTTGAGTTCGACTCATCCCTGGTCGGTGCCAGGCACGTAGCTAAGCTCCTCCTACATGCTACGTCCTTCCATTCTTGAAATGACCCCGTTAGCCCTGAAGGCAGATGGTACTAGCCCCCAAAGGACGCGACTAACCAGTGGGGGAGCCACATTTTAATCTTGATTTTAATGGATCCAGATCCCATGCTGTTAGCCACTGCACTGTGCTGAGGGCACTCAAGGGCAGCTGGGCAGTTCAGTGTTGTGTCTCAAAGGTGTTGCGATGAGGACTGTGTCGTTGGTGGTGGATTGTCCAGCTGCACCCTCAGGGTGGCCTGAGTGCTCCCTAGGCAGGCTCCCCAAAAGTCTGGCATGTTCCTTCACCACAGAGCACTGCTCAAACACTGAGGTTTGTGGACCAGACTTTACTGTGGCACTGGTATTTGGTTTCCACCTCCTCTTCTGAACCTCTCCCCCCACCCAACCCATGGGAGGAGGCCAGAAAGGAGCCTGCAATGGAGGTCCTAGCCTGTAGCCACTGAAGGGGACAGGACTGGCCAGGCCACAGGGGTCATCAGAAGGTGGGAAGTCAAACTCTACTCTGGACAATACTGGGGCATTACAGCCCCGTTTGCCTGAGGAGCTTTTTCTAGATTGAAGGTAAAGATAAAAATAGAAATCCCTTATTACCCCTGAAGTCCCACTCAGAATTGCCTCTTGCCACACTCCAACCCATGTACACCAGCACATCCACACAGCACCGAAAGAATGCAGATGTCACCGGGTATGGTGGCAGACATCTGTGATCCCAGCACTCCAGAGGTAGAGGCAGGAGGAGCGAGAAGTCCAGGCCAGCCTGGACTAAAAAGCCAGTTTGAGGTAACCTAGGCTACAAGAGACCCTGTCTCAAAAAGGAAACAAAAAACTAATCCAAATGTGGGTGGAGAGCAACAGAACGCAGATAAATCAAGCAGCATTCTTAGAGTGAAAAGGGGAGCCACAGAGTCACAGCAGATAATGCTGCAACAATCAATGACCTATCAACACAATGATCAGCCAGATATGTTCAAAAATACAAAGGATGTAAAGTTTCAAAAAGATCAGAAATAACCACACGTATCACCGTTAGTCCTGATCACAGAGGAAGGTTGGGGCTGTGATTAGTGGGAATACATGGAGGATTTTGGAGGTCTGCCATTGGGTTGTCTCTTGCCCTGGGTGGTGGTTACATAAAGATTTGCCTTATGATTATTTGTTAAACAGAACGTATTTTGCATATTTTATGCATTTTTTTTGTTTCACTGTAAGAAATAAAAGGCAAAGCTGGCCAGATTGCTCAGCAAATAAAGGTGCTTACTGCCAAGTCTGAGTTCAGTTCCCCAGAACCCACATGGTAGAAGGAGAGAACCCACCTCCACCGTTGTCCTCTGACCTCCACATGTGTGTTGTGGCATGTCTGTGCCCCACCCCTCATACACACAGTAAGTAAATAAATAATGAAATTAAAAGCACATGAGCTGAGGATGTAGCTCAGTTGGTAGAATGCTTGCCTACCACGCATAAAGCTCTGGGTTCTACCCCCAGCACCCCAAAAACCAGGCATGGTGGCTCACATCTGTAATCCCAGCACTTAGGAGGTAGCGGCAGGAGCATTAGTAATTCAAAGCCAGCCTTGGAAGCTAAGTGGGGCTACACAGGAGGGGATGGGAGGTGAGGATCAGGGAGAGGAGAGCACAGGTATATGAATCTCACGTAGCTCTGAATTGTGTGGTGAATGGACAGGGCAGTCCAACACTTGCCTGCATGCCGCACCTCTTTGGAGATACTGCCAAAGCCACACGGATTGCTGCACCACAGAGTGACGACACATAGGCGATAAAGACCACGGTGGAATGTAGGAAAGGACGCAGCCAGGGAAGATCAATGGTATGGGAACTGGGACGGTTCGTTACTTCTGTGACTTTGTGACCAAAACACCTGACAGAAACAGCTTAAGGGAGGAAAGACCTTTTTGGGCTCATGATTTCAGAGGATTTTCAGTTCATCAGGGTGGGGAAGGTGCAGTCACCACAGAGGGAGTGTGTGGTGGAGGCAGAATGGGAAGTAAAGAGTGGCCAAAACTAAGGACTGGGCTGTAACGTTCAAAGGCCTGCTCCTATGGATCTGCTTCCACGAGGGAGGCCCCATTGCCTAAAGGGCACACACACACACACACACACAGCCCTCCAGCAGCGCTAGGTGGGAATAAATGCCCAAACACTAACCTATTAACTAAGGCCTGTTTGAATTTCAGGGGACTTGAAGGGGGAGAGAGGTTCATGCACATGGTCCTGTCTGAGATGCAGCCCCATGTGGCTCCCACATAGAGCCAGTTCGGTCAAGCACCCATCTCACAGCCCCACTTCAGAGATATCTTATCCTTGATTCTCTACCAGATTCATGGTCTCAAGGAAGAAGTGGCTGTTAGCAGTAATGGATGCTGAAGTTTAAGGGATACAGAGAAAGGCATTCAAGACTTTCCAATCCAGCCCTAGTGCCCGATGTTCCCCAAGGGTACAGACCTCGTCTTCTTCATCCTCGTTTCCCTACCTTGGCACAGGCCTTGTGTGAAAGTTAACAAACACTGTTGCGTGAGTGTGCAGTGTATGCTGTAGTGAGTGTGGGCTCCTTAGGACCATGCTGAACAGGCTGCCCACTGGGCCCCTGCTTCTCTGGAGAGCCTTATCCATCCCCAGATAGTCCTACCTGTCAGAGCTGGCTTCTACCAGTCAGAGCCAGCATCCTTGGGGATGCTCAGGGCTTTTGCCCATTGGCCCTTCTACACAGGGTATCCTGGCAGGTGCTAAAGGCCTTCCTCTTTTCTCTCTTCCATGTTCAGCAAGACCAGGGTGCACAACTCTTTGCACGCTAGTCCTCAGCACATGGGTTATCCAGTCTGGAGAGGAAACACGTATCCAGATGTGTTCTGAACATATAGAACTAGAGATGTGGGTGAGAAGTTTGGCTTCTCAGGCCTGCATTTGGCTGCTGGTATGTTTACATTGTAATAATTAAACTACTGGCATGTCCCCATCTCTTCAGAGAGGTTTGGAGTTGTTCCCCATTTCCTTCCTTCCTTCCTTCCTTCCCTCCCTCCTTCCTTGCTTCCTTTAAATATTTTATTTTATTATTTCATTTTATTTTTAGATAGAGTATCACTGTGTAGCCCTGGCAGGCCTAAAACTTGCAATGTAGTCCAGGTTGGCCTCACGCTCACAGAGGTCCACCTCCCTCTACCTCCCAAGTTCTGGGATTAAGGGCATGCACTACCACACTTGGTTTTAAAGATTTTATTTTCAGTTTGAATTATGTATATGGGGGGTTGGTGATATGTGCACATTAGTAGAAGTGCCCATGGAGGCCAAAAGAGGAAATTAGATCCCCTGAAGTTGGAGATGCAGGCAGTTGTAAACCACCAGACATGGGTGCTGGGAACCAAAGGCTAGTCCACTGTGCCATCTCTCCAGCACCACCTTGTTTTTCAGACAAGTGAGTCTCTCACTGAACCAGGAGCTCACTAATTACGCTGGGCTGGCTGGCCAGGGAGCCACAGGGATCTGCCTGTCTCGGTGCTGAGATTACAAGCATGTAATTTCTGTACAGTTTCTGGAGCTTGAACTCAAGTCCTCATGCTTGCACACAAGGACTTTACTGACTGAGCCACTGCACAGGCCCCATCTTTCTTCTTTCAGTGTTCCTGTGGCCTTTGCCCCGGCACTATTTTGATGTAGAACCTTATGTTGTAACCTTCCTCAAGGAGCCAGGATCCCGAGGCAGCTGGCTGGAGGTAGACGGTGCATCAGCATTAGTTTGTATTGTTTGCTTTGTTATTTTGTCGTTTGGATGATCAGTCGCTCCTGTCTTTTAATGAGCATGTACTGTGGGCCAGAAACGTGTAGGTGCAGGTCAGCTGTGAGCGGAATGATCTGTTCTTGCCTGCCAGGGTGCCCACTCTGGAAGACTTGTTTATTGCCTGCTGAGTCCTGATTTTCCTCACTGTGATTAACACTTCCACTGCTGGACATCACTGGGCACCCTCTGCCAGACACACCCTTCCTGCCCTGGGTTCTGGAATACAAGCTGTGGAAGGAGAAGGCACTGTGGGAATCAAAACAGCTGACTAGGGCTCAAGTCCTGGCTCTGCCACAAACCCACTGAGGGAGTATGGATGAGTTGCTCCCCTTCTCTGAGCTTTAGTTATCAGTGAAATGGGGTTAACAATATATACCTCAGAGGCAAACAATGATCAGGTGGGTCACTGCACAGCCCTGAGGGTACTGTTCATATATATTTTAGTCTATGCAGCTTCTGGTGGCCTGAGGTTGAAGGAGAACACATTTGTGGTATGACCTGAAGTTAATGGCCAGTGAGTGATAGCTATTGTTATACACACACTGAGGGAAGCAAGGGTCAATGCAGGCCAGCAGGCTGGACCAGCCCTGGCCAGGCCAGGCTTTGTTCTTCAAGGAAGGGCAGGGCTGTGAGAGTGCAGACTGCATGCAGTACAGGCCAAGGTCAGGCTGAGGCAGGGCCTCCCAGATCATGTCTGAGAGACAAGGGCTGGAGAGCTCAATGTCAGCAATATCAAGGTCTGAGGGAAGAGTTTTCCCTTTTTTCTAGGTCCAGATTAGCTCCTGAAAGCTCGGTGGGGAGCAGTAAAGAGCTGCAAGGGATCCAGGCAGCATCCCACCCAGCATCACCAGGACCAAGGCTTGGGCCCTGCCAAAGCAGAGCTGAGTTCACAGTAACAGGA